ATTGCTGCTCTGATGGGGATGGATCCTCAGCCATTTGGAGGTTGTTGATGAATTTTATTGCTCCAGAGGCCTCTTCTTTCTTGAGCGCCTAAGTTCAGGAATTCACTTTAAAAAAGCTCATAAACATCTGTTAAAAAAAATTGAACAAGAAAAGCCCCAAGGAATAATGTAAGTTTTAAATTCTTCTGTGGTTAATTAGATAGATTTCAGAAGTGTATTCAAAGTGAGCCTTCTATATTGAAAAGAAAAGGGACAGAACTGTTTTGTCCTGTTTTCTTTTACTGTTCATAGTTTGGTATCAGCAATTGATCTTGACCAATTGATATTAGTCCAACAGATATTGACCCAGAGCTGCTTCCAGTGCAGTCTGAATAGATATTAAAATCAAGACCCTTCATTGGCTGACAATCAATTCCTCTTTCTCCCATCAGTTCCTTCATCCAGCCCCTGGGACACTAATGGATCAGGAGCAGTGTTGCCAGCAGGAGCAGGGCAGTGATTCTTCCCCTGTCCTCAGCAATGGTTGGGCAGCACAAGGTTAGGTCACAGGAACTGGCTGCCCAAGGAGGTGGGTGGGTCACTGTCCCTGGAGGTGTTTAAGGAAAGACTGGATGTGGCACTGAGTGCCATGGTCTGGGTGACAAGGTGGTGTTGGGTCCCAGGATGGACTTGATGCTCTCCAAGGTCTTTTCCAGCCTGGTTGATTCTCTGATGATTGTGACACTGCAGGGCCCTGGTGAGCCCAGGGGCCACTGTGACACTGTGGGGCTGAATGTAAGCAAGGAGTCCATGGTGACAGTCTGGGTCCTGGTGGCACCACAGAGGCCACTGTGACACTGTGGAACCAAGGGGCCATTGTGCCACTGCGGAACTGAGGAGACCCTTGGGAGAGCCTGGGGACAATGGAATCAAGGGACCATTGCTCCATTGCAAGGACTCTGGGAACCGAGGGAACAATTGTGACTTTGTGGTGCCCCATTGAAACAAGGGTCCCTGGTGACACTGCAGGATCTTGAGTCACCAGGGCTCCTTTGTGACAGTGCAGCAGTAAGGAATCCATTGTTGCCCTTTGAGGCCTCATGAAGCCAAGAGGCCACTGTGACCCTGCAGGGCCTTGTGGAACCATGCAGAGCATTGTGACGGAGGAGGACCTGGTGTCATGATGGGGCCATTGTGACACTGCAGGGCCCCATGGAATCAAGGGGTCAGTGCTGCTCCTCAGTGTCACATATTTTATGTGGACATATTTTATGAAAAATCCTTTTGCTAGGTATTTTTCTCCTGTGTAGCAGAGAGGCTCCAGAAACTAAATGTAAGCAGTAATTATCTGCTGCTTTGGAATGCTAAGATGGACCTTTGATTGGTCTCATGTGATTGTTTTTAATGTCCAATAACAGTTTGGCTGTCTCGGACTCTCTGGTCAGTCACAAGATTTTATTATCATTCCATTCTTTTCTACTGCTTGCTAGCCTTTAGATGAAATCCCTTCAGTATAGCAATTTCTTTTAATATAATATATATCATAAATTTATAAATAAGCTTTCTGAAACATGGATTCAAGTTTCTTGTATCTTCCCTTCTTTTGTGATCCCTGTGAAAACCACCAGGCCTCAGGGACACCTGGAATGAAGGAAACATGTTTGACCTCGTGGTGGCCCTTGGGACCAAGAGACCATTGTGACACTGTGGAACAAAGGAGAGCATTGCTCCACTGCCAGACCTCACGGAACCAAAGATCCATTGTGACACTACAGAGCCCTAGGGGACCATGGTGAGATTGTGACACTGCAGGGTGCAAGGATCCAAGGGACTTTGTGGCATCAAGGGTTCCCATTGAACCACGCTGGGAGGTCTCATGGAATCATGGAGACCATTGGGACACTCTGGGGCCTCATGGAACTGTGGTGACAACAATTTGAGTAGGATTGTTGAACTGCTGGAGGGTAGGAGGGCTCTGCATGGGCCCTGGACAAGCTGGATCCAGCGCCCAAATCCAACAAACTGAGGTTTAACAAGTCCAGGTGCTGGGTCCTGCACTTTGGCCGCGACAACCCCTGCAGCTCTACAGGCTGGGGACGGAGTGGGTGGCCAGCAGCCAGGCAGAAAGGGACCTGCAGGGACTGATGAACAGCAAGCTGGACATGAGCCAGCAGTGTGCCCAGGTGGCCAAGGAGGCCAATGGCTCCTGGCCTGGATCAGGAATGGTGTGGCAAGTAGGAGCAGGGCAGGGATTCTTCCCCTGTGCTCAGCACTGCTTGGGCAGCACCTTGAGTGCTGTGTGCGGTTCTGGGCACCCTGGGGTGTGAAAGAGGAAGAAATTTGTAGCAGGAAAGAGTAAAGAAAGCAAAGATGAAGCAGGGGAAATGCTCAGGGCAGTTTGGGGGTGGCTACCAGGAAGCCCTGGCTCTGAGCAGCAGAGCCTGCAGTGGCACAGGAAACTCCCAGCTGATGGGAACAAACTTTCTGGCTGACTGCAGAGGCCAGGACAAAGATGAGTGGTTTCCCTCATGTCCCCCAGCCCTTGCTGGCCCCAGGGGCTGATGGCATTTGTGCTCCCTCAGGTTCATGTCCCCACACCAACAGCATGGGGGTGCTCCTGCCTGCTGTGTGCAATGCAAACAGGGGCTGCTGAGCCAGTGCTGC